ACCAGTTATTTGATTGATATTGCAACAAAATTGTAAATATAGTGACATAATTAAGGGAAATAACACTAGTGTCAAAATCAAAATTTTGTGGTAATATAGTGAGTTTCTTACGGTTTACCCTTAGTTAAACAAGAAACATACTTGTTTTAGACTGAAACCCAATCTTAATTTGTGTATTTACATGATAATGTGCATTAGTATAGAATTAGTCATTCCCTCTCAACCTTTTTGTCATACAGATGTTATATAGTTTTTTCTCTTTTTTCCATGTTTTTCGACTTACTTTACAAAGAACTCATTATTCTAAACCATCACAACTATAACATTTTCTTTTTAAAAAATATTAAAATATTTAAAACGTATAATTAATTAAATAAAATAAAACTGAAAATACATTTTGGATATCTAAAAATTAATAAAAATATATTTTTATGCATATAGGTTAATAAAATACATTTTCGTACATAAAAATATACATTAAATCATTGTCTTTTAGGGTATACTTGAATTTGTAAGAGCTATATTGTGTCATGTTGAGCACAGACAATGTGCTAGTCACATTTATGCCAATTTTAAGAAGTATTTCACAGGGTTGGAGTACAAGAAGTTGTTTTTGGATGCATCTATAAGTTGTGTGGAATGTGACTTCAAGAGGTATGTGGAAATCATTAATAGTTTAAGCGCTTTTTCATATGAGTATTTAATGTCAAAACAACTAAAAACATTATGTAAAACCATTTTTTAGATCAGGTTATGCTTGTAAAGTAGTTGAGTATGGGATCTCAGAGTGTTTCAACTTAATCATCTTGGATGCTAGGAAAAAACCTCTGATCACCATGCTTAAAGAGATAATGTTTTATATCATGGACATGTTTGTTCACATGAATGAGGAAAGTCAAAGATGGAATTCTAATGTTTGTCTGATAGTGTTGAGGAAAATAATTCTCTTTGGAAAGAATATGAGGTATATTTCTAATTTTATGTATTCTAACATTTATCTTAATCATAACAATGATTTTTACTAACTGTATAAATGATTGTAGGTTTTGGTTGATAATTCATAGTCAAGGAAATATATTAATAAAACCAACCAAACATTACACTATTTAGTACAACTACAAATACCATTCAAACACCATTTAGTACTCACACATACCATTTTATGTAATGTACTTATAAAACCAACCAAACATTACAAAGACCATTCAAACACCATTTAGTACTTATAAAACCAACCAAACATTCCGAATATCATTTAAAACACCATATGTAACCATTTTATACAATGTAATTTTCAAACCATCCAAACATTACAAATATTATCCAAATGGGGATTTTAAGTACGAAAACATACCTACAACCATTTAAACACTATTAAACAACCATTGTCATAACAACAACTACCAAACAACCAGGTGCCACTAAATCTTGTACACTACTAAAACAAGCATGAATAATATAACTACAAACAAAACAACAACCATTTGTATCAATGTCATCATCTATCTCTATAAACCCATTTGACTCTTTCATATCTTGTTCATCGTCAACCCAGTTGAAAACCCACAGCCTCCTTCTACCTACATAGTATAAGCTTATTGCAACCCCAATTACATTAGAAAAAAGAAAGAAAAAAAACTTAGTATGATGAAATAATTAGGGAACCGCCGAAATTTCTTTCTTGGGGTGTGTGTGTGTGAAACATAGACATGACATACATCACCATTTCCGCATTTCGATTCGTACTTCTTCTTGCATTGTGAAATCCCACTCGAGCTTGATTTTGCAGAGGATGTTGGCATTTTGCATGGGAGAAAAATGTCGATTCTTGTTGAAATTGTTATTAATGGGTTAGGTTTATGATGACTATCATGTAGGAGTCTACGTGGGATCAGCTTGTCAAGTGTGACATCCCCAATTTCACGGTAAGAAAAGACCGATTTATTTATGCTTATTTTGAAATCAGAGTATCTTTAAAAGAATAATATTGTGGAATTTGTTCCCAAAAACATAATAATGATATTATCTAAACATTTCCGAAGAAACATATTTTATTTATATTAAAAACCTTGGAATGTCATTGTCGATACAGTACATAAGCATAAACGAATAATACATGTCTTACACTAGTTTATCTAAACTACTGGCCTATAGGCATCCATAAATCTCTCATCATATCATCACACATGTGCTCTTATGCTACTACCTATAATATAAAAAACTGAGTGGGTCAGGCATGCCATAATAATTAAATCTTTATTTATTATTATCAAATCATCAACCCGATTACCCCTTCCCACTATCCTCACTCTCTATCCTTAACATCTAATTTCAATGGACCTATTATAAGGACCATCTTCTGGATATACAATAATTCTTAGAGGAGTCTATAGCAATATATGTCAGTAAGGAAACCATTGGGGGGGGGGGGGGGGGGAGGGGATGGAGTACACCTGGTGAACACTAAGTTCAAAAACACATACATGTTGTGAGCCTGCTAGCGTTCCACTAAACTATCTAGAATAATTCGTGATCGTTATCTATACTCCGCTAGACAACTGGATTATCTTTAAAGTCAAGGCCTCTAATCATCTATATAATCTTTCATCTCTCATCATCTATATCATCTTTCATCTCTTATCATCTATATCAACTTTCATCTCTCATCATCTATGTCATCTTATATTTACCCATCTTTACCCAACATATTTATAGGTAAAAAAATAAATATACAGTTTAAAATCGAGTAAAACATGTATAAACCATTCATCTAGCATAGATATCAAGAACACATATAATATGCACATATAGCATGTAATTATCTTAAATACTTTATTCTATGTGTAAGATAAACGTAACTATGCACTCACATGATAAAATAAGCGACTGGTGATCTGAGCAGAGTTTCGTCTAACACGTCAGATATTCCTTGACATGACCTAAGTATAATTACTACAGAGTTTTAGTCTAATGATCCTGGAGACTAAAAATAGTCTAGATCCTCACTAATCTCAATGCCTACATCAAGATCTATCAAGTAAGGATCAGCTAGGCAGGACAGCTGGGAGGCATGATCATTTCGGCATAATAGCTTTTCTAAAATCCAACAACCAAGCCAGCATGACCATTTTAGATACATTTCCCGTAAGTAGATCAATCAGTATAACGACATGGAAGTAATGAGAAGCCTTATTTATAGGTTCATAATGATGACTTATGACTATAAATATAAGTTACACAAAAAATACTAGAGTGTAGTTTAACTTACAGAGGTTCTTCCTGACAGAAGTTAGGAAATTGAACTGACAGAGTTCTACTTGCTAGCCACTACTTCCTCAAGGATCGTAGGGCTTTAATGAAGGCTAGAACTAAGGGAAATGGGCTAAAACCAAGAGAATTTCGAGAGAGAGGAGGATGAGGAGTGAGGAAGCAAATGAGCAGGTGAAGTCTATTTATAGCGCAACTGCGCGCCGTGCACACTTGAGACATTGCTCCTCCAATTTTTCTGTCACGTGTCACAAATATGGTGGTACATGCCCTACCTTCTAGAAGGTGTGCGCAGTGCAACCCACATACGCATGGCGCTTCTCGGAAAACTTCAGAAAATCGTATCTTCTTCATACTAGCTCCGTTTTCGACGTTTTTTATATCACCGGAAAGCTCTCGACGAGATCTACAACTTTCGTTTAGAATATGTCGGCTAATTTTGACTTCTATTTTTTAAAGCTATATTTTTAACAGACTTGGACTGTTAAAGTCCGTTAACAATTCATAACTTCCTCATATGATATCCATTCTCGACTGTCTTTATATCGACATAACCATATGGACGAGATCTTCAACCCTTGTTTAGATTGTTTTTCGTAACAATCAATCAATTTCTACTTCGGTTTCTGATCCGTATACTAGAAGACAAAAGTGTTGGTCTTTGTTATGTTTAACTTTGAAAAATGGTGAAATTAGATAATTTTAAGATATATATTGTTAATTACTATTGATTTGACTTTTTAAGATATTAGTTGTTTGTGATTTAAGTTAATTGTCTTATATCTTATGATTTTTTATTATTACAATTAATATGTTTGAACTTTTAAAACCGTTTGAGCTCTAAACTGTGGTTAAAAATCACACAAAATAACCGCACCAAATCCATAACCGCAACACAAAAAAAAAAAAAAAAAAACAAAAACGCACCGCAAAAATAACCGCACTAAGCGGGTTTGAAAATGGATTAACCGCATTTGCGATTAGTGATGATGTTTTGGCTAATAACCGCACCGAACCGCACCGCGCTCACCCCTACTTTTTTTAACGGTTGTTTATTATTTTTTTTAATATAATTTTTATTTTGTAGATTTTGGTTCAATTTTGGTTTTCCTTTTTTCAAGTCACCTGATTGGTCGTTTTTTTTTTAGTAAATTACACGAATAGTCACTATGGTTTGGGTAATTTGCACATTTCATCCCTAACTTATTTTTTTAACTCGGAAAGTCCCTACTGATTGTTTTGTTACGAGCTTGATCCATGTCTTATCTAAAAAGACTATTTCGCCCTTGATTTTTTAATTTATTTAAATAAACATACCCCCAACCTTACTTCCATCTCACCTTACTTTACCTTACATACCCCACTTTATTCAAATAAATTAAATAATCAAGGGCAAAATAGTATTTTGAGGTAAGATAGGGACCAAGCATGCAACATAAACAAGCTGTAGAGACCTTCCGAGTTAAAAAAATAAGTTAGAAATCAAACGTACAAATTATCCCTAATCATAGGGACCATTCGTGTAATTTACTCTTTTTTTTTTTTTTTTTTTTTTTGTCAAAGTAAAGTAGCAAACAGAATCCAACTGTCAAGAAGAGTTGGCAATAAGAACAGAAATTAATTTTCACAAAATGATTGTTTATTTGTTTAATATCTTTTTTCTATTTAATATTCCAAATTATTAGACCAATTTTCATCAATATGTTTTCATTTTCTGGTGTAAACAATAACATCTCCAAACGTTCCAACCAGACATTCCTTTAGCCCAACTTGCATATACACGTAAACAATTAACAAACATGGTATTCGATGTATTTGTATTAGCCTAAAAATAAAGCACAAAGTTTACGTATAAACAAAAACTCATAATAAGACATGTCTATAGTGATACACACCTCTATTTTAAACACTGTATACACTTAAATGTCTTTATGAATTAAGTCACTTACATAAAACAAATTGTGTTACATAAGTCGCCCCACATAATGAGCTCGAGGATATTGCTTTTGTAATTGTGGCCATTGCACAAACAACTGATCAGCCATGTGTAATTTGTAAAGAAGCAAACCACTAAGCGATAGTCTTTTCACTCTTGCAATACTTTCCACATAGAAAATATACGACCATCTAATTCCCAAAACCTAAAACAGTCAACACATGAAAAGTCAAATGTTTGACTTTTGGCAAGGAAATTTTTTGACTATTTGTCAACCATCTTTTAGAAGTAGAAATCAAAGACCCAAATTTTCATGGTATTATTTTAAAAAATTGAAGCATACAAACCTTGAAAATAAACGCGATGGCACATAAGGGAATACAAGTACCGGGACCGTTGCATAGAATCTGTGTAGAGAAAATGGAAAGGTTAAATGCTAGAAATAGCATTGTACTTTATAATAATTAATACTAAACAAAAGTATGGCATCAAAACATTATAAAAGATGAAAAATAAGGGTTTAGGTAATATATGTAAAACTTCGTTTTAATAAAAAAAAAATTAAAATTAAATAGTAGTACCACTTGAGGTCTGATTTTGAGCATGAGCCACAAAGCATGACATAAAGCAAATAATGTTGTCCCGATTGAGGTAATATATGACTGTCCTACTTCACGGCTTCGATAGATTTGCATAAATTTGGTCGACTCTGACACCTGCAAACTTATCTGCACATGACATGACATGACATAACAGTATAAAAAAACTACAGGAGGAACAAACAAAACAAAACACCCATAAGAAATATTATATATATATATATATATATATATATATATATATATATATATATATATATATATATATATATATATATATCTGATATACCTTATCAGCCAAAGTGTTTTCAAAAACACGCGCTTTTTGAAGACTCATGTTATCGGTTACTGCAGCAATGTAAAATCTTGGAGCAAATCGATCATTTTGCATAACAGATAATAAATTTATCATTTCTGCTGTGTGTCCACCTATATTAAAACCAAGAAATAGTATCAATTTTGAGCTTGAATGTTTTCTTTTTTTTATGTAGGAATAAGAAAAGGAAGCGTTAATATACATACCTGAACCCAAAACAATAAGAGTACTCAAATGTTTTGAAGAAGTGTTACATATCGGTTTACTACCTTGAGATATAACATAAAGAATTCGGACAAGTAGCAGTGTTGTAATAATAACAACAATTGAGATGAACTCCATCATTGAATTTGAAACACCCCCTAAATCCAAATATGAAAATACGCCCATTGAAATCCAAAATATTGGTGAACAAATAGCACTAGAAAAATCAATTCAAGTGATATTTAAGTGGGGAAAAGAAGAAAGTTCATAAAATAGCGTACCTTGGCTTGGAGATGATGATGAACACACGATCCAAGTATCTGAGAATTACATTCTACTAAGATGCAAACAATATAAATCACACACAGAAAATGTATACAAGATAAATACCAAACATCTCATATTTGGATCTACTTCAATTCATAAAGAAATATGCATCAGTCATCTCAAGTGCTTAACAATGAGCATCGGTTATCAGAAAAAAAGAAAGTAAGCTGACTCGATATTTTAACATCAAAGCAGATTAACAGCGATCGATATCAACCAGATGTAATTCAGAAAAAACTGTAGTACAATGCCCTGTTTCAAGAATCAGATAAAACCAACTCTAGATTTTATAACGCGAAACCAGATCACCAAACTGGCTTAAAATTACATCTGCTTCATCGATTCTAGAAGAAATATGTGCTTAATTGGAACAATAAGTTCATGTGCTTCATCGATTAAAAAAAATCATCTGCTTTATCGATACAGGGCAGGGGAGTACCGAAGCAGAAAAAGAAAATGAGAATAACACCAAAACAGAAATTGGGAATCGGATTAACCAGAAATCAGACAGGAATTGAGCTTTAGATTCAAAATCGAATAAGAAATCATGTGTTTATCATCCAATAAGGAAAGTGGGACCTACTGGGAGACCAGAGAAGGAGAAGTCAGTAGCCGGCGCTGGCGCAGGCGCCGGCGATCGGATGTCTGGAGCGGAGATTGTAAGCTGGCAGAACGTTGTGAAGGAGGCTGTGTGAACGAAGCCAGCGAAGCTAGGGTAGTTTTGGGGTAGATAGGTAATTTAACTAAGCTAAAAGAACTTGAAAAAGTCCGTTCCAAAAAGAAATTGTTTTGACAAAACCACAAAATTAGTCTTTTTTTTAATTTAATTTTATTATTATTATTAATTTTTTCCAGTTAGGTCCAAAATAAAAAGTTTGCCTGGAAAAAAAAGTCTTTATTTGGTGTTTGAGTTGATTCTAGTTGTGCATTTCGTTTTCTTTCTCATATACTCGGCATATCGCATTTTCATTTTTTCATTTATGGAGGCAATGCTCATTTATTATCGTTCGTATAATGATATCTAAACAATCACACACTTTTCATTTTCTTCCTCGTTGATGTATTAACCCTAAATCAATGATTTCCACCCAAATCCTTTACCGAGCTGAACTGCAGTTAGATAGGTTGAAGAAAAAAAAAATAATGTTTTCACTGTGGATGATATGACCTACCACGATGGGATTTGATGCATTCACTTTGTATGATGAGTGCTACTATAGTTTTTGAAACTTAAATTTTTTGAAATTTCACATAATATGCCAACTACATTCTATTGTTGTTTTTTATTAGGAAAGTTGATCGTCCCACTTTTTGCAAGATTGAACTTCACCATAATGGGAAGTTCATATCTTTTCTAAATATAAGATATGTGCAACGGAAAGTTAGGTATATTGATTTAGTTGATCATATTGATGAGTTTTTGAGTGCGTGAACTCAATGCTATGATGCTAGAACTAGGATATGTGGTTCCTCCCGTAATATTTTATCATTTCAGAATTCCCGATCAAGACTTGATTTTTGGCCTTACAACTCTTGGTAATGATCAAGATATATATAACCTAGCTAAATATACAAGAGCTAACAAGGTGATTCATCTATATACAGAGCATGATACAACCAACTTGGTTACATATATCATGTAACCAAGTTGAAGAAACCAAAACAAGGAAACCAAAAAATAGTTGATAAACCCCAACATAAAAATGGTAGTTTATCATTACCATTTGTGGTTTATAAGGTGCATCAAAATCACTTTCACCATAAACGAGGAGAACAAGAAAATGAAAGGGACCGGTCCTAGACAATTTAGGGTATGGGGTAAAAATTAGGATCTTAATAATTTTTTTTACAATATCAACATTTTCATTAGAAATTAGGGACCTCATTTGTATTATTAACATTTTCATGAATGAAATTAACATCTTCATTATTAATAATTTCATCATCAATATCCACATTTTCATGTATGATATTATCTCCTCATTAAAAACATTTTCATGTGTGGCATTATTTTGTATATTAGAAGAATTTTTTTTACAAACTTATTCATAGATCTTTTTTAAGCTTCATTAAATTTGTAATGTCCTAATTTTCAAAATAAGTTTTTTCATTTTTAAACTGTAATAAATTCACATTTTCACAAGGATATGTTCAAGGCAAAACCCTTTATTCATAAATCATATGTAAAAATCAGAGTTATAAAGAAAACTATTGTGGAATCTCAAATCATTAAATTCCTGATTAGTGTGTGCAGTCACGCCTTCGCCTTCCCACAAATTGATAAAGTACATGAAAAATATTTAATCGACAACTGTAAGCCAAAGTTTAATGAGTCCCCAAAAATACTTCACACAATAATATACATACAATGCATGCACATATGAGCCTTCAGTCTGACTGGACCGCCTACAACATGAGGTTGGACCGCTCTCCTTGGGCCTACAACACGAGGTTGGACCGCTCTCCTTGGGCCTACAATATCGACTAGACCGCCCGAGTATCTTGTCCTACAACACATAGTAAGATTGCCTCAACCTAACCACAATATGTCGACATATGCAAACAAACAATAATAATCGGCATACACAAGTAATTATAACATATCTACCAATCTAACAAATCAATACAACATATCAACATCCTACACACAAAGGATACATACTACAGTACAAAGTATAGTGAAAAAACTCACTTGAAACAACCATATTAATAATCTTTACTTAGCTTGCAATTTAAATATTACTTATTAATATTTCTTAATATATACATATATATTTTATTCACTTTTGATATCGAGCCAAGAATTAACACTCCAAAATTCATTCTCGTTAATGTTCTATACTTAAATGTCATTATTATAAGTTCAAGAAAACCCAACAAACTTAATATTTTGTCTAAAAAAGTTTAACTAACTTATTACGTGGAATTAAATATCATGAAGAATAAGGGTTTCAAAACTATTCAAAAAACATCAATCATGTTTTGTTTGCTCAAAAAAACTCAACGAATGAAAAAATCACACATTTTTATAAAAACTTGCTGATAAAAATAAAAAATCAATTTTTTTTAAAATTCAGCGAATTTGTAGTAAAAACTGTGATTTTTTTCAAAAAAAATTCAAAAAAAAGTTTTGTGATCTCTAAGTATTTTTTACGCATTTTTATGATTTTTAGGGTTTTTTGTTTTCCATAGATTCCAAACATATATATATATATATATATATATATATATATATATATATATATATATATATATATATATATATATATATATATATATATATAGGACTTGGAGAAGAGAAAAACAAACGTCGTCTATGTTCGATCTCTTGTAGTGATACCAAGAAGGAATTTGTGGTTTGTCTTCACTTTGTAATTAAAATCATTTCACAAAATTGATATCCTCACTTCAATTTAGTTAACTCCTTTATCTCCATCAACCTATTGCCAAAAAACCAAATTTCAACCCATTTAAATAAACAGGTTGGGTTGGGTTGAAATTTTCAACCCAATTATTAAATGAGTTAAACCCGAACTAATCCAGGTCGACTCATTGTCAGCTTTAAGTGACATAGTGAGTGGGAGGGAGCTAACGCATGTTAATTTGTTGATTTATAACAGACATAGTACGTGTTTTGCTTAACCTTAATTTCAACTTGAATAAATCTAGTATGGTATAAAAGAAGCCTTTAGCAATCTAATTCCAAGCATATAATAAAAAAGATTATGGTTTTAGCTCAATTTGCTTCCTTATCTTGCCAACAAACAAGTCTTTATATTTAAGCATACAAGGAATCCGCCAGATGATTGCTACTCACCATACCTGCAACAAGGCCTCTCCTCTCCCCAATGACACAACTACCATTGGTGAAGATGGAGTGTATATGACCATATTGCTCACATCACCTCCAAGTTTCTAGCAACCACCAATGCATGCCTTTGTGCTAAATACCCTTGTTTAAGTTCATAAACATTAATCAAACATACTCTTTTACTCATTTCATAAACCAAATAGTTTTCACTTTGTTATTAATATTTCACCGTAACCTATAATTGTATAGGAGACATAACAAGTTATATATTATGTCATTTTTTTTCCAAAATATATATATGTGCTTCAACTATAAATCAATAAATTAAACTTTTCCACTAGGAACTAATAACTACTGCAAGAAATATAAATAGATATATCTATGTTGGTATACTATTTAAGCTATAACAAAGCTTGCATCAATCTTTCATTTAGAATTAGAACACATAGTAAATATGAAACAAAATTTAAATTTATCTTCTTGAAGGAAAGGCATTTCTAGTCATTGTACTTATCATAAATATCTTAACCAACTACCTTATTTTCAAAAATGTAAATGTAGCATCATGCTTTCATTGAAAGTATTAGCAGATGGTTAATATAACCAATAACCAGACCAAGTACATTGGTTAGAAATACTAGTTGCTATAATAGGTGTGAAACCTTTTAATATTAGCTTCACCTTTTTGGTCAACACCAGTGGGCCCCCCTCCAATTATCAATATTTTGACTGTGAAGATTTGATCTTTTCATTATCTGCAAACAAATATTGCATACAACACAAGATACAATTTAAGTTCCCATGAGAGAAAATATGTAGAAAGACTTAAAATGAAAAAGCTCCTTTTATCTCCACATTAGGAGAGCTTTTTCAATTTATTATTTCGTGGGACCCTTGTATATATTATTTATTTACAATTGGTTGAAAGCCTATAGAGCCCACCAAATCATTGAATAAGATAACAAGAGCTTGTTAATTAACAAACTCTTTGAATCCAATAGCTTTTTCAATTTTCATGAGCTTTTTGAGGCGAAAAAACTCTTGGAAAAACTATGCTCTAAGAGAGTTGACACTCGGAATCGGTCCATTTCAAGAAACAAGGATATTGGAATCAAAACGAAATGATGTAGTTTTTTAAGGTAAATTAGAATCCCTAACTCATGAATTATAAATTAATTTACTGAGCAAACTTGAAGATAACATTCAACTGAATAATTTAAAACTTGTGAAACATACTTTTTGTGGGGTCTCTTTAAGACTTTAGGAAACAGATTCCACTTGACGTAGGTTCAATGCTTGGTTGTTTAGTATGTAAATTTGTTCTTGGTACCTAACAAGAATGAGTAAAGGTTGTGGATTAATATCTAAACATATAATTAAATAGAATATAGAAAAGTAACTTGTTTGGAATTTTGAACGGATATAACATTTGTTAAAGATAAAATAATCAAACAAGCATATTGCTATTATACATGACTATATGCCAAGTCGAGAAAATATGTGGAGGCTAAAGGAGAAAAAGAAGGCTTGGAAATTCTTTTCACTTGTGTAACTACATGAATCCTTAGGATTCACAATATATCCTCATAAGGGTAAGGGTGTCATTTTTTTATGAATCAACTTACATTTTTTTGTGTTCAAGAAGTATCTTTGCATGAGCTATCACAACTTCTTGATCAGCTGAAGAATGTTGAAGTCTTTTCATCTCCTCTTTACATTCAACAAGTTGTTCATCAAGTTGATTGATTAACTGATCTGCAATTTTACGTCTTTTGTCAATCTACATAAGCAATAAAGAGTGATCAGGTTTTAATTTAATATACAGCTTAAAACACAATTCCAACATGCACAATTTATTAATTAGTCATATTAGACTGCAATATTAGCTTCAAACAATGGCAATGGCGTATTTAACTAACATATCCGTGTTTGCTTGATGAGAAAGTTATAAAGGAAAAAAGAATTAGAATTGTACGTTTGTTACAACTCTCGTACAAATTGGCCCATGATAATCCTAAGTATGTTTATTATATGTAAAGAAAACATGCATATGGCATGGTATTTAAACTAAACATACAATAGAGAAAGAACAATACCGATTCCTAGGGTCCTTTAATTGAACTCATCTTGTTTACTTCAATTCTTTGCTGTTTTCAACAAAAACACAGAAGATTAGAGAACAACACAATCAATGTGATATTTTTCTTCTAAGACTACTAGGTGTGGGCAACATGTTATTACATGTTACCACACCCAAAATGTGTCATGTCAGCATCCTACTCATACGTGGTGTTATAACATCCATTGTGGAAATTGGCAACATCTAATAACATGTGATAACACCAATGATTTTCTATTTTATTTTTTATTTTATTTTTTGATGTTTTTTTTTTATATTTCGAATTTGATTATTTATTTATTTATTTATTTATATTTGAAAAGTAAAAATAAAATTTTAATAAAACTTAAATTAAAAAAAAATATTAAAAAAATTACAACAAAACACAAAAACATTTAAAAACCTAAAAAGAAAAAAAAAATGATAAAACATACATTTTTTTGGCCTAAAACTATTCATCTTCATCTTCGTGACCAATATAGATGTAATCCGCCAAGTCTTCACGAAGTTACTTGTGATTTCGCTGATTTTAAATATCAACCACTCTATATAAATATTCCGATATTCCTGGTTGAAATTGCACATGTCTTGGCTCCGTAGGCGAATACGTTGCAGTATTGCATCCTTTATCTTTGACAACCATGTTATGCATTATGATACATGCATACATGATATATCGTAGAGTATCTAACTCATAAGGTCTCGTCGCATGTTCAACTATGTGTCATTTTAATTTCAAAACCCCAAAAGCACGTTCAACGTCCTTACGTGCTCCTTCTTGTCGTCTCTTGAAATATTTGTCTCTTGGATCTATTGGGTGTCGAAACGCCTTCACAAACGTGGAATATTGTGGATATATTCCGTCTCTAAGGTAATACCCAAACTTATATTCATTTCTATTCACTGTGAAAGGAGCATACGGGGCTTTTCCTGAAAAAAGGTTGTCAAATATTGGTGATTGATCGAGAACGTTGACGTCGTTGTTAGAACCCGCAACCCCGAAAAAAGCATGTCAAATCCATAAATCTTGTGAAGCAACAACCTCTAATACCAACGAAGGCGCTCCATGATGACCGCTCGAATACTAGCCTTTCCACGCTACTGGGCAATTTCTCAATTTCCAGTGTGTGCAGTCAATGCTTCCAAGCATACCCGAAAAACCATGTCTTTCTTCATGCACCGCATATAGTTGTTGCATACAGGGGCGGATGCAAGATTTCATAGTAGGGGTTGCACGGGAAGATTAAGGGTTGCACGATAGTATAAAAAATAAAAAATTTAAAAAAATTCGAAATTTTTTCCACTGCGGCGGGAAAATTTAGGGGTTGCCTGTGCCACCCCGGAACCCCCCTAAATCCGCCCCTGGTTGCATATCATGCAACGAAGGTTTGCGCAAGTATTGGTCATCGAAGGTTTCGACAACACCTCTTGCCAATAAATACAAACTTTCTCGTGCGGTCCTCTCAGACATTCTCATATAATCGTCAACAGAATCGGGTGACTCCCCCATTGCCATAAGTTTAATTGCAGCTACATTTTTGCAACCCTGTAAAGCCTCGTTTGCCTCTAGCATCATATCTCATTTGGAAAAATTCATACCTAATTAAATATTAAACATGTAAAAATTGTATTTATTTTATCTAAAAGTGACATTTTTTAAATTATAAAAGTTGAATCGAACAATACCTTGCTTCCATAGCGTTGGCTATCATTTCAAAGATATTTTTTCGCAAACGAAATCTTCTTTTGAAATCGCTTGGTCGGTAGATACAATTTTCCGCAAAGTAATCGTTAACTAGCCGTCGATACCCTTCCTTACGATCTCTATTTAACGTCGCACGTCGCGTGAGTAGTGGAGCTGGATCTGGCTGTAGTAGGTTGTCTATGTAATACTGGTACATCATACTCACGAACAAATCGTCTTCGTCGTTATCATCATTGTACGGATGAGCCTGATCAAATTCATTCATAGTTGGTTGATTTTTGTGTTTGTGTTTTGAGTGATATAGAAATAGAGATAGATATAGAGAAATATGTGTAGTAAAAAGAATGAGGTATATATATAAAATGAAAATGTAATTAGTAATTTTTTTTTATTAAAGTTACTGTTTTTAAACGGTTTGAATTTGCAAACGGTCGACTTTTTACGCGTGACGAGATGTTACCACCAAGCGCGAGATAACATAACATTCAATAACGGGAGAGGGGGGGGGGGGGTGTTCCCCCTTATGGCGCTGCCACATCAGATAACGCCATACGGGCATTGCCCACACCCGCCCCTCTAATTCTTCGTTTCGAAAAGTAGCTTTTGTGTTCGACAACTCTTATACAAAGAGGCAAAGAAGACATACGAAACCCTATACAAAGAGGCAAAGAAGACATACGAAACCCTAACCCGTTTCTCGCCCTTCTCTTTCTGAAATATGATAAACTGGAAATAATGCGAACGGGTATATTTAGTTCTTAGCTTTTTCTTTTATGTCCATCAGTCCTTCGTCTTTCAATCCTTTCCAGCTTTAGTCCTTTAATTCTTTTTCGTTTTCATTTTAGCTTGAATTAACCTCTACTACTTCAAAACATACATGCCTAACAGCCTCAGGTGAGGAACTCAGGTTGAAAACAAACCGATGTCGTGAATAATTTGTTGGAAATTTATTTAATAAATAAACAAACATAAACAAGATTTTTTGTTAGTTTAGTTAAATGAACAAATACAAACAACGGTTGGAATTCGAAGACCACGATATCTTATTTATAATTGACATGCTAATTTGTCGATCCATCCTTGTAATAATAATAATCATTACTAACATAACACGATTTGGATTTAATATTTATCATCATCAAAATAAAACAAGATTAACATTAAATGTTATTCACATGCACGACATGCACCAAGAATATTTGTATAAGTTAAGTGTTACAAAGATATTTATTCATCTAGTATGAGCATGTGTAGATTGTAAGGATCTATTGATAAGACAAATTGTAGTTTCCCCCACGAGTGGCTTGAGAGAAAGTTGTACATATTTTTTGCAAGGGGAAAATGCAGAAAAACCAACCAATTATACATGTATATGTACAAAAACCCTTATATTATTTTTATGTTTAAAACATCCTTATATTATTATTTACATTTCAAATAAAACCAAATTGTAGATTTTTAGAAGAAACGATCAGCTAAAAATATAATATGATATACATATCCTTTATACTTCTTTGATTATATGCAAAAACATGTCAAACCGAAATATATTTCGATTACTTTCATTCGATTGTATTCTTTATATGGTTGATTTCTTGTTTCTTAACTAATTGTTTTTTTTTATCCCAATTAAAATCAATGTAGTATTGATAAACAAAAATGTAAGTGACATTAGATTTATAGTTGTCAATTTTTCTTAAAACCTCGTATTTTGATCTTTTTCGAATGATAACTATTAATATAAGGATTTTTCTGAATATAAAAATAAAATAAGGGTTTTTCTGCAGATACATGTATAATTGGTTGGGTTTTTGTGCATTTTTCCCTTTTTGCAAAGTGAAAATGTTGTTTACAATTATATGAGTTTTACTTATATTATGCATATTGATGTTGTTAAGATTTCAAGAAGAGAAATTTTAATACCATATGTGTGAATTGAGATAAGTATCCTCTAGTGAGAAGTTGAGCAATGACTTAACCCAAAATAAATGAAATTGTTACATAACCAAACAATACCAAAGTTTTCATATTCACTCTTTTAGACTTGTATAACATAGTATGTGTTTGTTAACCTTAAAACTTCAAACCGAATAAACTAGTTTGGTATAATAAAAGGGTTTATCAATCCAATCCAATTCCAAGCATAATAAACAAACAAGATTAGGGTTTTAGCCCTAGCTGCTTCCTTGTTTTCCCAACAAACAAATCTTTAGATTTTAGCATACCAGGAACTCTCCCAATCGATGTCACACACCATACTTGCAACAAGGCCTCTCGTCTCCCCAATGACACAATTGCCGTTGGTGATCCCGGAGTGTATTTTACCATATTGCCCCCATCACTTCCATTTATCAGCAACTCCAAATTTTTAGCAACCACCAATGCATGCTTTTGTGCCAAATATCCTTGTTTAAGTTCCTAAACATCAATCAAACATTGTCATTTCACAAAGAACACATTATACAATTGGCAAAAATGAGCCAAAGAAACATACAACATGTGATGAGACTTACTGCAACATCAGTGATATCTCCAATTGCAAAGATATTGTCAAACCCTTTGACCCTAAAATTTGCATCAACCATTAATCTACCACTATCATTCAAACTATCCTTGAGACTTGTCTCTTTAAGCCATGATGAACCAATCGGATCACTTGTGCATTTAAAATAACAATCAGCCATGATAGTTTCACCTTCAGATGTTTTATAAGTTCCATCATCAGAGCTGGAAGTCAAATCCACAGATTGACCTAAAATTACCTCAACTTTCTTTAGAGTTAACCAATCAAGCACCTTTTTACTACCCTTTTCATCTATAAACTCCAGCAATCTTGAACCCTTGTGAACTAGTTTCACCTTTTTGGTGGGAAAATCAACAGCAATTTCAGCTGCAAGTTCCACACCAGTGGGTCCCCCTCCAATTATCAATATTGACTCTGAAGATTTGATCTTTTCATTATCTGCAAACAAAGATTGCAAATTGGCCTCAGACATCACATGTTACCTCTTCTTTTACAAAGTTTTGTAAATAAGCAATTTGGAATGATATGAAAGTTTTTTAAAATTACCTGCTTCATACTCCCTGAGCTTCTCAGGTTTTGTGACACATTTGCTACCCATGTGACCTGTGGCAATTACAAGATAATCATATGAAATCAGGCGACCTTCTGTGGTTGACACTTCATTGTCTTCAATCCCATTTGCATCAGATGTGATAATACTTGCACCTTGAAGATATTCATGGTGATTAATCACAGATCTTTTTGCAAATGATGGTTCCACCATTGACCTCAACCTTGCCCATGTCACCTCAAAATACTCTTTCCTGGATAAAAAAAAATGGAAATTGAATAGGAGCATAATACAGAATGAGGTAAAAAAGAAGGAATACATGATCCTACTGGTTATTCATATAGTCCTTCACTCCTTCATATGGAGTATAAGAGTAAACATTTGTTTTCAAAAGATAAACAAGTTAAACATATGATTATTCATCTCAAAGAAAAGGTCGCATAACTACATAAGGGTGTATATTTGTGCGACCATATCCAATGTGCATTTAAAAGCTTAAAGAATTACAATCAGAATCAGATAATTGATTAAGGTGAGAAATAGGTATCAGTTGATTAACGTAAGATATAGGTAGCAATTTACATATATCTCGATGATAGAATGTTTCCTTATTGCAATTCCCTAAATGATCATAAAATCGTAGTAATCACTTTACCGAAATACTCAGAGCTAGACAAGTATTTTGTTTCGGATTGAAATGAATACCGTTAATGGAGGGTGAAAGTAAGGGCACGGGAAATAAAGGATCTTAAGAACATTTCCGATTGAATATCAGCTTAGAAAAATTCCAATCAATCAAAAAACATGGGAGAAGAGAAGAGAAGGATTAGAAACTTACGAATCAATGAGGGTGAAATCAAAATGTCGATGCTTTTGAAGGGTTTTGCAAAGAAGAGAACCTGCTACGCCGCCACCAATAACCACCACTCTCTTCTTCTTCTTATCGACTCCCGGTTCTGCCATTACTATACACACTTCACTGCTAAAGATCGATAACAAATTTCAAAGTGCAAAACCCTAGACTGCGCTTCGAATCAAAACCCAGCGAATCAGTATATTAAGAGGTGAATTTGATCAAGATTGGAATCAAGAAAAGGCGGAAGAAAAAGGTAGTTAAAAAACGATGCTCGATCGAAGGACGCACTGATTGGCTGGATCGAAGGACGCGGTGATTGGCTGCGCATCGTTTTAACCAGGATTTATGTTTGACTTCGACTCAAATGGTCAAAATTTGTGATATAGATGTAAAATATCCAAAGCACAGGGACCATTACTTAATTTCCTCTAAGAGAACTTATTATTATTATTATTATTATTATTATTATTATTATTATTAAATGTTGGAATCCTAAGTCGATGAGGACATGGAGATCAATATACTTTTTTTTAAGCAAAAATTCATGAAGTTTCCGGACCACCTCTGCAACCCTGTGCAGTAGAAGAGGTGGATCAAACGATTCCAGACTGTAATAAGAAGTGTGTTTTTTTTTAACATCTGAATGTTGTTGCAGATATTAAAAAAATTAAAATAAACCGATTTTATAAACCGAAAATAGTTTTTTAATACCGAAAAATTAATAATGTACGATTTTTCAGCAAAAAAATAATGATATTTCAACAAAAAAAATAAAGATATTTAGCAAAAAATAATGATATTTCATCAAGAAGTTATCATTATTCAATATAAAAAAATGAAAATTTTTTTTACAAGAATAAACAAAAAAAGAAAAAAAAATGTAAATAAGATTTCAGCAACATATAAATAAGATTTCAGCAAGAAAAAAGAAGAAGAAGAGGTTGGAAGAGCAATACAAGTGTTGCATCAAACAGAACACGTGCATAGGTTTTTTACTCTGAAGACTTCTAAAAAACAAACAACTGTGAGATTAAAAGTGTTGCGTGTCTGTTGTGCTGTGCAACAATAGGAGGTCTGAAGATGTTTTTTACAAAAAAAAAAAAACAATACCTAAGTAATCGTAAAGATTACAAGTTGGCCATGAATCCTAATTGTAGTCTAATAGCAAGTCTGTTATTAGAAGTCTATAAATACAATGTCTTAGTCGAGTTTTAGGATTTAAGAGAAAACAAATGTAAAGGTTTTTGAGTTATATTTCCTTATTTAATCATAGAGTTATTTTGATTATACACACTTGTGCATATTTAATTGGTATCAGAGCTAAGGCTGTGAGATCAGACTTCTTACTTGTTGAACAAGGAAGTCAACATGGCGGGAGACGAAAGAGTTACATGCGGTACTTTGGGGAGGGAGAAGAGACTGGAACGACCTCTGTTACATGTCCGATGCTCACACCCACCAATTACATAGTGTGGGCAACGAGGATGAAGGTTGTGCTCCGCATTCACAAAGCTTGGAGCATGATTGATCCAGTAACCGCAATAAGAGAAGAGAAGGACTGTCTTGCATTAGGTTTGCACTATCAAGCTTTGCCGGAAAGTTTGATTATGCAAATTGGAGAAGTCGATTCTTCAAAAGCCTTGTGGGATGCAATCAAGGCTTGACACATTAGGGCTGATCGAGTGAAGGAGGCCCGATTCTAGACCTTAATGGCTGATTTCAATAGACTGAAGATGCATGAGACTGAATCGATCACTGCTTTTAGCGGGAAATTGTCGGGAATCACCTCAAAATCGACTGCTTTAGGAGAAGTGATCGAAGAATCCAAATTGGTTAAGAAATTTCTGAAAGATTTGCCTAGAAATTTCATCCACATAGTTGCTTCTTTGGAACAAGTCTTGGATCTCAAATCGGTTGGATTTGAAGATGTTGTGGGAAGGCTTAAAGCTTATGAAGAAAGGATTAGGGAAGAGGGTGATGATGGAGGAGAAGAACCGAAAGTTCTGTGGTCATCGAGCAGTGGCGGTAGTGGTTTAGGTGGTGGCAATGGCTTGTCTGGTGGAGCGAAGGAAAGATCGACAAAGGGAAAGGGGGCATCGATTGGTAATCATGGAGCAAGAGGATTTAGTGGATCATGAGGGTTTAATGGGTTTGATGGGTCAAGTGGCCCTAAATCATGTAATCAAGTATCACAAAGGGGTAAGCCCAATCACCACAAGTCCAATTCTGATTTAACTCAACCCGATTCCACCAATTGCAAAAATTGTAATTGTTGTTGTGACAAAAATCGGAAAAATAGGGAAAAAGAACGATCTAAGGTGATTTGTTTTAGGTGTGAAAAATAGCATCCCTTTGCCTTTAAATGTCCGGAACGACTCCAAAAATTACAAGAAGGTGATTTTTTGGAATATGACGACAACGACGAGCCTGTATTTTAAAGACAAGCCGTAGTTGAAGAATTCTATAGAAGGACTTAGAGATTTGGGGGGTGATTGTTGGAATCCTAAATCGATGAGGACTTGGAGACCAAGTAATTATAAAGATGGAAAGTTAGCCATGAATCCTAAGTGTAGTCTAATAGCAAGTCGGTTTTTAGAAGTCTATAAATACAATGTCTTAGTCAAGTTTTAGGATTTAAGAGAAAAAATATAAATGTTTTTGAAAAAGAAGGACGGGTCACACAGGATGTGCATTGATTATCGAGAGCTAAATAAACTAACAGTGAAAAACCGTTATCCATTACCGAGGATCGACAATTTATTTGATCAGCTGCAGGGTGCGTCTTAGTTTTCCAAGATTGATCTTCGGTCGGGGTACCATTAGATGAGGATTTGGGATGAGGATATACCAAAGACAACTTTTAGGACTCGATATGGGCACTATGAGTTTGTGGTGATGCCATTCGGGCTCACCAATGCCCCAACATCGTTCATGGATCTCATGAACAAGGTGTGCAGACTGATGTTGGATCAGTCGGTGATTTTTTTTGTTGACGATATCATATTCTATTCTAAGACCAATGAGCAGCATCTGAGGGAGGTATTGGAGACACTGAGAATGGAAAGGATTTATACCAAGTTCTCTAAGTGTGATTTCTGGCTGTGAGAGGTACAGTTTTTGGGACACATCATCAACCAGGAGGGTATTTCGGTGGATCCAACCAAGGTTGAGGCAGTGATGCAGTGGGAAGTACCGAAGAATGCATCCGAGATCCGTAGCTTCTTGGGTTTAGCGGGCTATTATCAAAGATTCATCAAGGATTTCTCCAAGATCATCATGCCTTTGACCCGTTTGATCAAGAAGAATGTGACATTTCGATGGGGGCACGAATCAACAATTAGCTTTTGAGACACTGAGACAGAGGTTATGCGAGGCTCCGGTTCTAGTACTACCTGAGGGGCTTGATGATTTGGTAGTGTACTGTGATGCATCGATCTCAGGGTTAGGCGCGATACTGATGTACAGGGGGCATGTGATTGCGTACGCCTTAAGGCAGTTGAAGCCTTATAAGGTGAATTACCCCACTCACGACTTGGAATTGGGGGTAGTAGTGTTTTCCCTCAAAATTTGGAGACACTACTTGTATGGCGTACGATGCACTATTTATACTAATCATAAGAGTTTGAAGTATTTGATGGACCAGTAGAACCTCAACATGCAACAGAGGAGGTAGTTGGATGTGCTGAAAGATTATGAGTGTGAGATCTTATTGTTGGATTAGTTTCTAAGTCCATAACTATATTTGGTATGTACTTGACCTGATTGTGCATGGTTCTTTTGGGTTGCCTTTATCAAAGCAACTTCACTGGATGAATAATAGAGAAAGAGGTTATTATGGTTTATTAATATATTATAAGAATAATATATTAAAAGAGAAATCATATTTATTTAAATAACATTGGTCAAGAATTAATTAAGAATTAACTTTGTGGTCAAAAGAGGTTAATTGAATTAAGGGGACTAAACCTGTAATTATGTGATAGTTGCAGAGTTGGGTAAGGAAACTCTAGAGTATAGGGTGGATGAATTCTAAGGATAAGGCCTTAGGAATTCGTCCAAAGGGGGGCTTCTAGAATTATCCTTGGGCTGCTTGGTGGCTAAGTAACCAAATAAGGATAATCACTGAAACCATAATTTCCACGCCTATATAAAGACCCCTAGGGCTAGGGATTTCGGCTACACTTGAACCCTAGAAGTCTTGGAGCCGATTTTTCCCTCTTTCTTCTCTTTATTGATGCATCCAAATGTTTTTGGTGTTTATGATTCATTATAGGCACAACATTTGGGGTGCTAAGGTTCTCAAATCTTCAAGATCTACAATCAACAATCAAGGTATTCATCTAACTTGTTTATTTGATATTCAACAAGTTTTGTTGTATGCTAGATTAAGGTTTATAAGCTTTGGATAAATTTGCATGTACAATAGAGAAACCTAGATCCAAAACTTTAGGGTTTTGCATGTGCAGACAGGAAGTTCTTTTGCTCAAAACCCATCACTTATACTATTCAGGGAAGGCCAACGTGGTGGCCGATGCTTTGAGCTGCAAGACGACAGGTTCCCCAAATGGGAACATTTGCTTGAGGATGACGGTGATCTCACCATTGTTAGATACGATAAAACAAGCTCAAGTTAAGGGTGTGAAGAAGGAGAATTAGAAGATATAGCGGATTCGTGGTCAGTATCTCTTGTTTGTTCGAGATAGCCGATGTCTTCTGACACAGTGTGGTCGGGTGTGGGTATCGGTGACTGGGGGAGTGAGACATAAGATATTGAAGGAGGCACACAAGTCCAAGTTCTCTATACATCCGCGGGCTACAAAAATGTATAGAGATCTGAGACAGAGCTATTGGTGGTCCTACATGAAGCGGGAGATCACTTGGTTCGTGGAGCGGTGCTTGACCTACAGGAAGGTCAAGGCCGAACATCAGCGGCCGCATGGCAAGTTTTATATGCTACCCATTCCTATGTGGAAGTGGGAAGAGATCACTATGGACTTCATGACGAAGTTACCAAGGACAACGAGGGCGTGGACGCCATATGGGTGACTGTGGACAAATTGATGAAGAGTGCCCACTTTATTCCGATCTTCGAGAGCATCTCTGAGGAGAAATTAGCGGATATTTACATGAGAGGGGTGGTGGTTAGGCACGTGGTGCCAGTGTCAGTAGTCTCTGATCGGGACATTCAATTCACATCTAGATTTTGGAAGAAGTTCCATGAGGAACTGGGTACTCAGTTGCGTTTCAGCACGACATACGACCTCCAAACAGATGGCCAAAGTGAGAGGACAATCCAGACACTCAAGGATATGCTTCGGGCATGCGTGTTGGATTTTGGAGG